TGCATTCAACTACTTGAGTGATCTACACCGAGTAAAGTTGTTTTCAATAAGGATATGTGTCTAATTTCTAAGATTTCTCTCGCATCTTAGTTTAATAGTTTAGGTGCTATATTTTGATGTTGTCTTTATCGCATAATGCGTTGTGAAGTTATATTTTCAGTCTTACTTTTTATCATGTAATAGTTTCGCGATGTTGCTAATTCTGTTTTTTTTTTAACTTTTGTATTTTATTATAAAATTAAAGTACTCATTCTTATGTTGAAAGATATAGTATTTATTGTATGATGATATCTTATAATTAATAAATAATAAAAACATACACTCTATACATTGGTCATGCAACTAGAACTTATCACGTCGACATACATGCCACTTACCGATTGTAGCTCCATAAAAACTTTTATTAATAATAATGCAATAAAAAATAAAAACTTATTCATACCAACATTCGAGAGATATTTATTAAAATAAAATCACACAAAATAATATGATATTAACTGCAAAGAACTAGAAAGAATGCTTAAAATAAGGAATAACCGGCAAACAAAATATAATTCAACATTTGAACGTATATTTCAATTATATGTTAACAACCAACACAATGAAAAATTATTTTCAATATCTTTTAAAAAAATAAAGAAAAACCCTCCCCTTCTCTGTCTCGAAAAAAGAAAAAGTTTTGGGGTTTACCTGTAATTTAACAACTACAACTGGCCCTCGTTAAAAAAAATTAAATCACTACCCGTGAACCATGAATCAGTTCTTCAGACGCACACATGCACACACACACACCTACAAATATATATATATATATATATATATATATATATATATATATATATATATTACATTAAAGATGACTGACAGGTTATAGCGATTGCGCTTTAAATTCATTTAATTTTTCTTCCGTTCATATAGGTTTTTTTTTTTCTTTTCTCAACATAAAGTGTGTAAAGATGCATACATAAAAAATACATTCATTTAAAAATAAAAATCATCCTTAATAATGGCTAAAAAAATCCGCTTGGATACGCAAAAACAATTAGACAATTTTTACACAGTTTATGTCCAGAAAAGAAAAAAACACTTATATGAACACAAGAAAAATTAAACAAAACAGCTTAATCGTTTAATGAAACTCGTATAAAAGAGGAACTGGTGCCCAAATACACAATATATATATATATATATATATATATATATATATATATATAGTAGCTCAAATGCCAAGTTGCAACTGGTTATGATGATAGGGAAACGATTCTTTAGTGCTGATCTGATAAAACACTGTCAAAGTCAAGTGATGCTGCGCAACTTCCCGTCATAAAATCATCCTGAATATTGACTGCATCTTAATTCTAATAAAAAAGGCGAAAGAAATTAAATGGATAACTAAGAAATGTCTTTTTTTCGATATCTTTCTTATTGTCCTTATTCAAGAGGTTCACCATGTTTCATTTTAAGCAACACCGGTCATGTACAGTAACTGTACAACAGTAATTAGTAGCATAAAAGAAAAACAAAATATATTTAATTTGTTCCTGGTAAATTTACAACAAAGAAATACTAGGTAAATTCTAGGTAAATACCAGGTAAATACCAGATAAATACTAGGTAAATTTGAAAAATAATTTTATGAAAAAACGTTGTTCTCGAAAGTTGCTTTTTAAAGTACACAAATATTTTTTCTGGTCCGAACAAGACAAAATGTTAATTATTACTCTTACTGAAAAATATATTTCCGTATAACAGAATAGCAATAGAATGACAAGTTCCCAATGATGAACAGAAAAATAAACGAATAAACAAACTTCTTTTTTATACACACACACACACACATATACACATACACTCACACACAGACCTCTCTGTATGTACCTAAGTCTTTCTACCTTTACAAGGCCGAAAATGAAGTACTGTTTCCATATTTGGGCGGGGGTCTGTCTAGTCCAAACTTTCCAGTCTTGACAGAGTTGAAAAGCTTTTCCGAGTCCTTTTAGGTGACGAACTATTTTTCTACTTTCCAGCCTCTCACCCTCATAAGCGGGGTGTGTCTACCCTGTCACTGCTCTATTGCTACTTCCATGGAGAGTGTTCGGACGAACTACATTCATTTGATCCACCAGCTTTGACCTTCACGGTTAGGACCCGCCATGCCATTTACATCGTAGCAAACCACTCACATTGCCCCCGTATTCCATCGGTGAGAAATAAGTTCCACTCGAACAGCTTCTTCCCGCGAACTGCTGCTCTGTGGATCAGAATCCCAAGATGATTTTTCCCCGATCACAACAATCTTAACCTTTTCATGTCTAAAGTTAACCATTATCTTCCTCTCCGATCCGTATAAGTTAATTTAACCCTCAGTTTCAAGTGGTCCTGGGGCCTTGTACAGTGCGAACCTTACTGTAAAAAAAAAAAGAAGAAAATAAAGATAGATAGATATGAACAGAGTAAGAAAATATGGGGACGAACTAACGGTGAAGAAACAATTTTCCATTCATCAATTTGCCTCCAACAAAAGAAACTATATGCCCTCTCATTGAAATTTTCAATTCCTCTCTATAACACTCCATTTTCTACTGACAAATTATCTCAGTCATAAAGTTCATGATTTTAGTTCCTTATGGCTTCGATATTACGATATCTATTAAGCACCTTGTTTTCTCACGACATACAACAATGACATTCTTTTCCATAAAGATGTCGGCTTACAAAAGCTGTATAACATTTTGACGGTAATCTGTATTTATTTTTAAAAAAGAATTTTTGAAAAGAATTTTTCGCTAAATATTTCAAAAAGAAAGTTCTGCATCGTTTTTGTTTTTTTGTTTTTTGTCATGGCCAACAATGGCAACGGTAGCCATTTTACTGCTCTTTCCTGGATTTGTATTGATGGGGAATGGATGAAGAATTCAACGTTCACGTTTGTTTCCTATTTTCGAAATATTGATCAAGTTCGCTGGTATTGAAAGAGAAAGACGGAAAACAGAGAAAGTTGGGTTCACGCTTTTTCTTTGCAGGGTCATTGAGTTCAAAACCAAATCAGAAGTTTTGACAAGAATATCAATTCGGTCCCCTGATGTCAGATTTCAATTTCTAAACAACTGCAACAATTTACGTCGCCATCTTCATTGAAAGAGATTCTTCTATTTCTGCTTTGTTTGCGCGCAAATTAAAAATGTCACTTATACATTTGGTCCACGGCTAGAAAAAAAAACTCATCAAAATGGCAAAAGAAAAAAAAATCTATCCTAGTGCAACGAATCGTGTGAATATAAAGTTTGTGATTCTTGATTCATTTTGAATATTTTCTCTCGGCATTCTTTATTTGCATTTATTGACTGAAGTGCAAAGAGTTAGTTGCCTATCTCAATTACAGTTGCCAGAAAGATCTAACGTCATATTTAATTACTTTTCTGCGAGGAATGCTCGGTGCAAGCAGGAACGAAAAACAAGCTGAAAAGAGAGAAATGAAAGCAATATTTTCGGTTGATTAAATTTTGTGCCTCTAAAAAATCTCGTCCTCTAAATATGCAGATAAATTTAGACTTGATACACACAGAACGTTGCTCGGAGGTCACATTCTCTGTTGCTTCTTTGGAATGTTTTAAAATTGGAGCTTCAATTTGGGCGTTTGGATTAGAAAAATAATGAACACATCATTATCTTTCTTGTTCTGCTTTCAAACAGAGGATGCACACAAAGACACACACACATACACACGTTCATAAACGACTGTACACATGCAAAAATACATACGCACACACAAAATTTACACATGCGCACATTCGCACACTGACATATGCGCAGCACGTAAAGTTAGCTTAATTTTCTCTTTCGCTGTTATCTTTATAATTGATGGCAATGAATATAGCAGATGTACCCCAGATGTATCCCAGATAAGTAAATCTCGTGCAGTTGGAGCCAATTAATGACAATTGCTTCTGATATACACGTACATTTCTCTCACGTTCAAAGATCTTTAAAGAAATTTAGACTGCCGTTTTCCTAAGTTAAAGACTGAATTTATAGAAAAACATATTTGTAACGTTTTTCGTTTTTGAGTTTTGAATGGAAAAAATGATAAAAAATTCAATGTAACGCGTTTCGTTGTTTAAAATTATTTCATCAAACTAAAGTAATGTTTTAATTACTTAATGGCATTATATATGATACCTTCAACAATAACATTACATTAACTTGATGAAGTCCTTTTAAATGACGAAACATTTTACTATTTTATCATTCAAGCACCTAACAATATTCTATCTCTTTTTGATTATTCATGCTTTTGTACCTTTTCGCAAATACTAGGTGAAACCACAACAATCTATCCGCATCCTGGGTAAGACGATAAACTACATGCGACAGCAAGACCTCTAATCAGGAGGTTTTGCGAAGCGTGGAACCACCTCTTAATTGCTGATGTTCCCAGGTCCATCCTAATCGAGAGTGGTAGCACCTTTTAGGATCCCAGCTATGGGTAAATAATTACCCGCCGCAAAACTGGGGTCAAAACGCTATGAAAGTGTAAAAATAGGTTTTAATACCAGCAAAAATATTTTTGAGAAAAAATTATTACCAGCAAAATATTTTTCAGGAAAAATATTACCAGCAATACATTTTTGTAAATAATTGTTACCAGCAATACATTATTACCAGCAATACATTTTTGAAGAAAAATATTACCAGCAATACATTTTTGTAAATAATTATTACCAGCAATACATTATTACCAGCAATACATTTTTGAAGAAAAATATTACCAGCAATACATTTTTGTAAATAATTGTTACCAGCAATGCATTATTACCAGCAATATATTACTGAAGAAAAATATTACTAGCAATACATTTTTGAAGAAAAAATATTACCAGCAATACACTTTTGGAAAAAATATTACCAGCAATAAAAGTCTCGTTGGCATTAAATAACTCATTGAGGTTGATAAGCCGTAAAACAAGCCAAACCAAACCACAATCTTCTTGGTTTACACCGGTCTGTTCAGCTGCTATAGCCCACAGGAATCGCCTTTTCCGGGTGGACCAGCGATATGATTCTGATCACAATAGACGCCTATCTGTCTGTGCTTGAAATAATTATAAACATGTCCTCAAAGAGGTTAAGTGTGCATTTTGCTCATAGAATGAGGCACAGTATAACCTCTAACAAATTTGGTTCATATGACTATTGGCAGCTCTGTAATAGTGTGTTAAATAAGAATAAGTCTCCTATCCCACCTCTCATTACTCAATTTGAGGTGTTAATATCTTCTGCTGATAAATCAGAATGTTTTGTTCGTAAATACTCTTTAAATTCTACTTTTGAATATTCTGGAGTACCTTTGCCTGACTTTCCACTTAAAACTGAGTCTCTATATGCATATAAACTCCGTCCATGTTTTCTGTCATCATCTCTAAACTGTATCCTCACAAAGAATGTGGACTCGGTGTTGTCCCTGCAATAGTTATTAAGAAATTTGCTCTGAACTGGCTCCTGTACTCTCTAAACTCTACAATAAATGCCATGCTGATTCTTGAATTGCTGGTTGTTGGAAATCCGCTTCTGTAGTTCCAGTCTTTAAAAAGTCGGGCGAACCGTCTAATCCTTCTATCGGCTTATTAGCCTTCTGCCACTTTTAAAGCAAGTAATAGAGACTCTAACTTTGAATTGGCTAAGCATCTTATCTCTCAAGGTCTTCTTTCAGATAAGCAATATAATTTTTGCTTCTCTATGTCAACTTCTGATTAGTTAACGATTATTGCTAAAAAAAAAGTGTATCAAGCTTTAAATATGAATGTGAAGCTCAGGATGTTTGGATATCTCGAAAGCATTTGACAGGGATCGGAAAACTGGTTTTCTTCACAAAGGTAATGGTATTTCTGGACGAATTTTTGAACTGATTCAGTCTTTCTTGTCAAATCGCGAAATGAATGTTGTCTTGAATGGCCACTCTTCTAGATCTTTTTGCATAATTGCAGGTGCTCCCTAGGGCTCCATACTTGGACCTATGCTGTCCCTAATTTATGTCAATGACCTTCCTGAAGTCATCGCTTCTCAACTCGGTATCTATGCCGATGTCACAACTATTTACTCCTGTTTTAATAGTAAGTCTAATCGACTCAATAAAGTCTAATTGGCAGCTGATCTTAAAAATGACCTACAATCTGTTCTTAAATTCCGTAAAGAATGGCTTCTTAATTTTAACGCCTCCAAAACGAAACTGCTCTCTTTTAACCGTGGGAGAAACCCTTTTTACCTTCTGTTAGTATGGCTGATGCTAACCTCCAGGTGAGTGACTCTTTGCACCTTCTCGGACTAACGTTTTCCGCTGACATGAAGTGGAAAGAATAGATTGAATCAATTGCTAGGTCTGTAGCTAGGAAGATTCGTTCACTGTATCGTGCGAGACACTGTTTCTCGCGAGAATCCATCTTACATATTTATAAGTTCACCATTCCTTCTTGCTTCGAATATCGCTGCCACATCTGCTCTGGTACTCCTGCTTTATATTTAGAGACTCTTGATAAAATACAAAAAAGAATCCGCAATGTTATTGGTCCTGATCTGTCATCTCGGCTTCAGTCACTCTCCCTACCGCCGCAACGTAGCTTTTCTATAAATACTTTCATGGTAATTGTTCTGATGAAATTTTCACTGTGATACCTATGAATTTAAGCGCAGCAAGGCCTCATCATTTTACAGTTGAAATGTAACCGTATGTTTTATATACAAAGACTTTTTTCTATGGCACTTCTCGCTTGTGGAACTCTCTTCCGGCTTTTTTGCTGCCCAGTCAACTTTGATCTTCAAAAATTTAAATGCAATTTCAATCGTTATCTTCTGTCTTCTTTATTCTTGTTCTTTTAACTATTCTTTCTCCTATTTTTTTTATATTATCCACTAACATTCAGTAACCCCCTGCGTCTTAGTGGCCATATGGCCTTGCTTGGATTGGAATGATTAATAAAAGAAAATTAAAAGATTTTCTTATCATCATCCATTTCGATATTTTGTAAGAAAAAAAAACTCCGATTATACGACTCACTTCTGAGATTTAAAGCTAAAATTAATTTAAATATGGAAACTAAATTTTCCGCATTTAAATTAGCTTAAACAATAAATAGGCGTTTAAAATATCTACAATAATACTGTAAATTAGAAGTGAATTGTTTCATTTCTAATTATTTTTACTTCAGTTGCTGCTACCTATGAAAATGTAAATAAACTTTTCTTGAATTCATAACGTCAATCTATTCCTTAATGTAACTTATCAGTCATCGATTTGTTTCTAAAAAATGACATTGACGTCAATAAAATTGTCCCCACAATTATTAAAGAGTAGAAGAGGCTTTATTAGCATCTAAAATCGATCGAGATGTCTATCGTTATATACAACCAGATGATCTCTTCACATCGATTAATTTTAATGTATTAAACCGAATTTTGCAATTATTAAAATTATTTCAAAATATATTTAAGGCAAATATTAAAAAA